CTTCGCCCGGCTGTCAGAGAAAATGGCTATCTTCCGGGAATGTATTCTTAGCCTTTTTATTTCTCTGGCACATTGTTCAATCGCTATGATTTCAAACTGGAAAACAGTAGCATACTTGCCTAGGTTTACCGTCAGTTCGGTCTTGGGGTTTATCCCAAAGACTCCAGCTCCCGTACCCTTGTTGTACTAAAATTGGAACGACACTCTTTCTCTCTGATTGTATATCAATCTCATTCACCCACTCTTTCTATAATTTTCTCACATTTGTAATTCTAACTTTCTCATTCACTCTCTCTCACTCACTCTCTCTCTCTCTCTCTCTCTCTCTCTCTCTTTTATGTTGTCTGTTCGTCTTCATGTCTCTCTGTCCACTTCTTTGTTTGAACGACAATAAACATAGTCAGGCTCTCTCTCTTACTCTACTGAAAACACAATAATGCTTGTAAAAACGAGTTTTTTCTAAATTGTCCGATTTGAATTTGTTTTAAATTAACATCTTGTTAGAGTGCAAAAAATAAAAATGATGGTTCTTTTCGTTATTTCACAATTTCACGAAAAAACACTCCTAGAACGAACGTAAACTTCCCCTAAATGTATTAATGTATTCTGAAAAACATTTCCCAACAACAGAGAAAAAGAGAAGAAATCCACATTTCAAAAAAGTTAAATTGTTTAAAATTTACCGGACGAGGTTTATTTATGCAATATACTGTGATTCAACCCAGCGGTGAAATCTCATTGGATTCAACGTGCCGTTATTAACTAAGGATTAAATGCGTTCATAATACGAAATCACAACAGTTGAAACATCGTGGTCGTCTTAAGCCACCAAAATTGCCACAGGGCTATGATTTTACAATGAAAATAATGTCAGTATGCCACCTGTTACTTCGCTCCGAAATGCTCAGTAATCAAAGTTTCAATCAGTACGATAAAATTGCACATATTATAAAAAATTAGACAAGTAATGATAATTGAAATTAAAGAATGATTTTCAAATAGGAAGGGTCAAAAACATTACACATAAATCAAATTCATTGACAAAATCTTTCAAGCAATATATCATTCTATCTTCGGGTTCTTATAGAAATATTTGAACAAAAAATGATTGCCGGAAATCCACTCGGCACAGAGTAGGCGAAGTACGAAAACCGGGCACTAACTATATTGGCTACAACGTTCCTCCAGTAATAATAAATACATACACGGAGACACATGTAAAATATATGAATGTACGATATGTGTATGCTATCTGATTCTAGTTTTTTACCCGGTCATCCCCTTTTTCTCTTCCTCCTAAGTCTTTTTCTGTCTTTTTTTCATATTCTCTCACACTCTAACACCTCTATCTCTCTTTCTCTCTTCCTATCTATTCGTCTTCATGTCTCTCTCTCCCGGAATTGCTCTCTTTTTTCTGTCTGTCTGTCGCTCCCCGTTTTTGTTTATTGGTCTCTCATTTATTTGCAATCTCCAATTTCTACTATATCTCCTTGCTGACTGTTTATCTGTCAGTCTCTCGTTCTTTGCTGACAATTTCTCTNCTCTCACACACACGCACACGCACGCACTCTTTCCAAGTTAACTGGTAGAATGTTGCACGAAATTTACCTTTGCCAGGTAAAATAAATTATATTATCATCATTATCATGTGCTGTCTAACATGAACATATGGAAAGGAAATAATCCCGCAACTGCAAAGAATTAAGAAAGGAAAGGCTGAACATAAACCTTTCACTAGTCACATAAAATACGTATTTTAACGAAAGCCCAATTTTCTTAAACTACTATACTTACTGATGGTATTTAACATTAACAACATCTTTCAATTAATTAAGGTTTTTAGTTGAGATAAAAAAGGCAGTGTCACAAGCGGGATTCGAACCCACGACCTTCGGCTAAAATACGCTGCTGCTCTACCACTTGAGCTAACGTGACNACCTTTAAATCGATTTTGAACTGATTCGGCTGATTTTTTAATGTATTTCTTTTGTAATCTGGTAAGCTTTAGAATAGTAAGCATCTTGTACTACTCCATCGGTTCTAAAATCAATTATTTACCTGAAAAGATAAATTTAACTTTGGACAACGTAGTTAATATTTACCTAGGTCAAACACATTATTTATAAATGAATTCACTTACAATATGTTAGAGATTAAAATCTAATTGCCCAGATACGCCGATCAATAAGGCGGCTCCTCTGTTCGCCTTTGTAGACGTTCGGTTTAATTCCAAGTCTGTTATAGGCAGAAGCCTGTGGTCGCTTGATTGTACTTAGATATATATACTTGCTTTGTTGTTAACTCAATTGTACCAATCGATTGTCAAGACGCAAATACCAGCTATAAAACATACTTAAAAAATATTTCGTACTTGTAAATGTGTCCTTATTTACTTAAAAATGAATATGGAAAAAATGTTTCTTCTTTAACTAGGATTGATGGTTTTGTAATAGATTGATAGATTTAAAAAAAATTACTTAATATTTTTTTTAGCTAGTATTTGTTGTTTTGAGAACATGAAGGTATAAGACCTAAAACTTTGGTCTTGAAACTTAATAAAGATTTTATTTATTTAACACCTAGCAACTGAAGACCTCATGTGCGCTGTTTTAATCACCAGCCGACGATATTGTGTGAGTCGCCCTCCAATGGCTTTTCCCTCTGGCAAAACTGACAATTGAAACTCTAAATAATTTCCTTCCAATATGAACTGAGAGGCTGGAGTCCCGAGGGCCGCTAAATCTTTAATCCTTAAGAACCCAGCCGTCGGAGTGACTCTCAGCGTTAATTAGACAGTTGAATAATTAACAAAAAAGGCGCAGTTTGCTCAAAAGCGTTTGAATATTCAGGAGGCGGGGTAGCGGGGAAAACTTGGCCCCTTATCGTTGTCGAGTTAAGGATACGTTTTACTGCGTTTTCTCAGCCTATCCTATATTAGAGTATTAGAGATCTTGATTTATTCGTGGTGACCTCCCCCAACCCTTTGAAACGAGGACGCAAGTAGGCGCATGTTTATAAGATTAGGGCCTCGGTTATGGAGGATGTCAAGGATGATCCCTTTAGCTCCAAGGTATATCGTTCCTTGTGCGCGGTCTTTAAAATTCTGTCCGACGCTACTAACAGCAACCATCGTGGTGTTGATAAAAGATCAACGTTGATTTTATAAATTAAAATATTCCTTGTTGAGGTCTGCGGGATGAACCTGTCGCTCATCGTCAAAACGCCGCATAAAATAAAAAGAAAAACAATTAAACCCAAACTGTGAAATACACTGCCGAACATAACACCATACAACCAATTGAATTTGTATAATCGTAAAAAGGATACAACGAAGATAAATAGCGTACTAACACACCACGGAAAATGACGAAACGGTCGTCTGACCAAAACAGAGACAATGACACTCGGTTAACTTACTACATTAAAGTATAAAATCTTAATTTTAGCTGCTTTGTAACAATCAATTGTTGCAAGGGTTTGCATGTAAACACTCATAAATTAATAGAAATGATAAATGGTGGAGTGAGTGTGTTGTTCAATCTTTGAAAAATGATGATGAGCTATAAGCTTGAAATCCAGATCGTTGAAAACAACTAACTGTGAGTAAGAACTATCTTATTAAAAAGACTCATAAATTATTCTCTAAAAATACGCCTGAAGTTGTAAGTTTAAAGGGGGGTTTTCATCATCAAAACATACGCCCGGAGCTGCATTTTTTTTCTTTTTTATACATACATTTAGAGCTATAACTTTTTTATATCCTCACAACACACATTAGAGATGTCTCTCTAACAACGCTTCTTTTCGAAAGATCGTCTCGGGACTGTAATTTTTACGTTTTTTTAAGATACGCTAGAGCTGCCACATTAATCGATTTTCCTTTCAAAGATGCGCCCTAGATTGTAATTTTTACAGTTTTTTAAAATATGCTTGAGTTGCTACTTTATATGTTTTTTCAAAAGATACGCTACAGCTGCTATTTTTATATTTTCCTTTCAAAAGATGCATCCGGGACTGTAATTTTTACGGTTTTTTAAGATATGCTGAAGCTGCCTCTGTATTTTTAAGTTTTCCCAAAAGATACTCTAAAGCTGCCACTTTAATAGATTTTCCTTTCAAAAGATGCGCCCGGGACTGTAATTTTTACGTTTTTTAAGAAACGCTAAAGCTGCCACTTTATTTTTACGTTTTTTTCCGCAAAAGATACGCCTCAGCTGCCATTTTAATCGATTTTCCTTTCAAAAGATGCGCCAGGGATTGTAATTTTTACAGTTTTTTAAGATACGCTCGAGCTGTCACTTTATATGTTTTTTTTCACAAGAATCGGTACAGCTGCCATTTTTAGATTTTCTTTTCAAAAGATGCGCCCGGGACTGTGATTATTACGTATTTTTAAGACACGCTAGAGCTGCCACTTTATTTAAAGATACGCTACAGCTGTCACTTGAACATTTTTTTAAACGGCCGAAGTTGTGATTGTTAAGTATTTTTTCTTTTTTTTAAATAGACTGAATCTGCCACTTTTACAGTTTGCCTTTTGAAAAGGTTTTAATATTTAAAATACATATTTGAGATGTTGACCATGCTTCATTAAAAAAAAAGAAAAAATCGAGGAAGCAGCTATAGATATAATAACAAACGTGACCCATGTTTTAAATATTTGTCTCTTCCCCCTTCAATAATAACGGGATACTGTATAAAATCGTATCTCTTTCCCAGAGGCAGGCGCTTAAAGGAGGAGAGGAACGGTCGCATCGCCCGTTTTAACGATAAATTCCATGGTGAATCTTTGCGAGCGGACTAAAGAGATAAAAGTAGCTTGAACAATTTATAATTCAGAGCCGTAACCCTCAGCGAGATGCGCTTCATTGGCTCAAAAGTGGGGAAAAGTTAGAACCGGCCCAGCCAAGCTCGATATGGGGTTCTATTATTCAGCTTTGCCGACTGGTGGACCATATTTCATTGATTTACCAACTTTTAGTAAAAATGGTTCAACTCACTTCACTCTCCGAAGAAGAGGGCCCAGGTGAAGTGTGGTATGTTTGACTCACCTGAAAAAAGAAGAAAAATTGATTAATTTCGATTATCATTTAAAGAAACCGTATTGTATATACTTTTAGCAAAAAACAAACGACAAAAAAAAATCAAATGGTTCGCTTTTGAAATGCCTTCAATATTTGTTTTTCAAAATCACAAAACAAGTATAACATTGAAATGACTCCACCGTTCTTAATGAGTCCTTACGTGCGTTTAGAACCCTTTAAACGGCACTGAATGGCACAAAGCTCCATTAATAAAAACCGATAGAAAATAAAATTTTACGTTTTTTTTAATAGATTTCAACTTTGCTTTTCTCACCATTTTAGAATCAATGAGAAACACACCTTTATGGATGCTTTAAATAAATCCGCTTTTTTTAAAAATAAATTTGTTTAATTATAAGCGGTTTTGTTTTAGTAACTTTTTGTATATCAAATCTCATTTAATATTATTTCTTATAGTGGATATTATTTTTTTTATCCAACATTAAAAAAGGATAAATCGAATGATATGAACCTTGAAATACATGCAAGAAAAGCATACTATAAAAAAATTAAAAATTTAGCTTATTTACAAAAAAAATCGTCTCCAAGATGCTAACACGATCGGAAATGTGTCTTTTATTTTCGTCTTTTGTTTCTTTCAAAGTTTCATTAAAATCTGTAATTTTACGTCCGCATTACGACTAAGTAGGCAACTCCAAAAAATATTTTATTTTGTTAACTCATTTCGTGGTCCGCTTGACCAATTAATATATTACAGTTAATTAATGAAAAAATTGAAAAATGTCAAAAAGGTGGGAAAATCCAAAAGGTGGGGTTGAGATGAGAAGTTAGTGTCCGAGTGGATCGAGGTCACGATAGCTCAAGTGGTAGAGCAGCGGCGTATCTAGCCGAAGATTGTGGGTTCGAATCCCGCTCGTGCCATTGACTTTTTTATCTCAACTATTAACCTTAATTACTTGTAATTTTATTTTGTATACAAATTTCACAAAAAAAATTAGCCAAAATAAAATATTTAGGTTAGGTTCATAAATCATCGCAGGTGATTGAAGATAAGCTCGGTTGTAATTTAAATGCTAAATATGTGTCAACGGTACGTTGGCAAAGCCAAGAAAAAGAAATATTTATGCAAATTTAAAATAAAAAAATCGATTCGATTTGTCGCTAAGTCAGTACCTTGTGATGACGACGGTTTCATTTGGGCCGGGATCTGGCTACCAGAATTAAATTAAATCGAATCAAGACGTTTTCATTTCACGGCAAAATGTCGTATTGATTGAACCAAGAGAAAAATGTTTAGGGCAAAGAAGTACTATGACGGTAAACTTAATAAGTTCCTTAAATAGCAACAATTCAATTATACAACTTTGTTCTACAAACATTGCTACCCAAATTACTTTGTAAGTGTATTCAAATATTGGTTTTTGCTAAATATTATCATCCTTTAACTTTATTCCACTGAGAGAATATCACACTTTCACATGGCGTTTGTAAACAAAGTATTGTTAAAATTATATTTTATAAATATATAATATATAATGTATATATAATCATATTCTTTTGTTAATCCGCTAATCAAATATACTTTAATTAATGACTATTGAATAATAATAACTAATGAATAATGTTTATGTCGAGGTCGAGGTTTTATTAATGGCGTACAGCAGGTGTTTAGTTTTTGTAAATGTACCATTTAGCATGTGTAGAAAAAAATTCTCGTCACTCTGGGTTAGCATATAACATGAGATAGCATGCCTGAACATTATGCAAGACTTGCTAATTGCTGATTTCTTAACCAATATTACGAATTAACTTTTTATTTTGGATGGCTACATCATTTCCTTAGAGATTTTTTTAAAAAACACACACACACACAAACACACACACGCACACAAACACAAACACAAAGGATAAGGAAAATTTAAAAGAAAGAAAACACAACATTTCCCTCACTTTTTCTTTTTTTCAAAATTCAACCTTAATAAATTTATTAGCATTGGCTTTGAAGACAGGACGAGATCTTTTAGTATTATTATTTTATCTTTTTTCTTTATCTCTTGATCTTTCTACATTGGAAGATGGAGTATCCGACGACCAAAGTTTAATGTGGAATGAATACACAGGTTAAGAGGTCCAAGGAAAAATCACTAAAGGCACATGCCGTAGTCAGTTGGTAGAAGTTGGATACTAAATCTTATGATGACCTTATGATACAACATTCATACCCATGAACACATGTGTAAGTCACATATGGTGGTCAAAAAATAGAACAAAGAAAGGCGAGAGAACCACTACAAAAAGGCCAAAGATTTGCATAATGTGTGGTGATTAGTGACCGTTAATCAGAAATCGTGAGATGCGGTCTGGTGTGATGTAGGTTTCAGAAAAACATTTTCTTTAACGTGCCAACGTTTCGATCTTTGATCGAAATACTTTGATGGAATATAAAAAATATATTTTGCCTTGTATAAATTCACTTTTCCACATCCTAAATGTATTTGTTAAATGTAAACAATGTTTGTAAATCCCAGGCCCTGAAGATGATCTCAATAAAGATTGAAACGTTGGCATGATAAAGAAAATGTTTTTCTGAAACCCACATCACACCAGACCGCATCTCACGATTTCTGAATAATTATGATTCGCATAATTTAAAAAAACCCAAATTGGCATCGAAAAGTATTTTCAAGCTACTGCCATCTACTATATGTATTAAAAGAATATTATCAATGGTATAACTGAGAACTTTTTTTTAAACGATACTATCGATGTTTTCTCACTACCATGTGTTATCGACAAACTTCACGATGTCACATCAAGGTAAACCATGTCATTCATGATACTATCAGAAATGATAATTCATAGAGTAATTGTCTCATGAAAAGAAGGGCAAATTATTGTTCCTTGACAAGCCCTATCAAAAAATAAAATTTGAAGGAATGAAATATTCTGAGATTTATTCTTGGGATCTAAGGGGTGGCCTTTACAATGAGCTGTTGTTTATTTTATATTATGTAATTATTATAATATTTTTAAAATTACATTAATATAGGATCAACGAAAAAGTAAATTTGAAAGCATTTAATTTTGTTAGTCAAGCTTTCGAGGAATATAGCCTTTAACTGTACTATGAACTGAGTTATTTTTTAATCGACCTCATCCTTGAATGTATTTAAATATAAAATGATAATATTCAAGGCTGATCAATAACTGAATGAGAAATAATAGTTTTAGTTGGAAAATACAAACTTCACGACAACCAAGATAACCAGAGCGATTACTCACTTCTTATCCCAAGAAGTGGGGAAGTCAGCAGGATGATGGACTTAGTAGTTTGGTCATTTTTAAGAAGTTGGTTTGTTACTAACAAAAAAAATTAATTATTCCGTAACACCGACATACTCTTTCCNGAATGGCCAGACTATGTTAGTGTTTGAATTATGATTTTATGGGTACTGCCAGACCCTGTTTCTTGGTACTTTGCTGTATATGGCTAAAATAAAACCTGTAATTCTATACCTTGATTAATCAGCTGGACTAAAGGCACAAAAGAAACAAACTACGAAAGATAGATAAATGACAAAAACACTATCAACTGCATTATAAAAACCGTTAAACCTACCTCAAAGGACAAACAGAAAACATAATAAAATCATGTGCTATAAAAAACAACCAAGGTACCAGATCAAGTCCCAAACTCAAAAAAGTACAACGTGCTATTTCAAGCTGAAATATATGCTTATTTCGCCAAAGCAACTCTTAAAAAGGGTCGATGAATCCATCCATGACCTGGGTAAACTAACTAACTAACAATATCTTGGATGATAGCCACAGGAAAAATTTAAGAAATAAACAAGCAGACACATTGGCCAGACGAGGATTTCCAAGTCTATCTAACTATAAGCCCAAAACCTATAATTGGGATAGCAAGATTACTTATATAATCGTTCATATCGAAATAGTTTCATACAAAAGAATAAGAACGGGCTCTATATTGGTTGCCGTCATCTGAGGAAACATAACAGAGACGTCAACTATGACCCCACTTAAAGGTTATGCAATGAGGGTGAAGATACCTCCACCGATATTAGGTGTTTGTAAGAAGTTAACTCGTGTAAACTCGAATAGAGAAATGTCCAGTAAAATCGTGAATGCCCTCTTCTTTTCTTAGCATGTTAAACGTTAATTTTTCCACAAAACTGCGCGTGGCGATTGGTAGAACCAAAAATAAAGCTATAACAGTCCTTGAAGGCTTGTTGTTGTTTAGTTTGGTTTTCTTTTGTGTTAAATTGTAAAATGCCAGAAGTTAATAAAAAAGGAAAATTAATCAACTCTTTCATTCAAACTGCTATCTATGCACTTGAAAAGTACTAACCAATGACATGCTGTTCGATTCGACATACGTCACTTTTATCCTGAAGTCCTACAACTTTATATGATAGGGGATGTATTTATTATGAATGAGAATATAACGACAGGTCGGAAATTAACTAAAGAAATGTATTGGTCTGATTTAAGGCGTACATGTAAACAAAATTTAAAAATACGTGTAAACAAAAAAATAGCTGTTAAATTCATGGCTGCCATGTTGGTTACTTACGCCCTAACGGATAGCAATGTGACTACATTTTCGACCTAACACCTAACATTGGCTCTGGCCAGTTAGATCGAGCAATGTTCACTAGTCGATTTACGTCATCATTTTACTCGATCTAACACGACCTAACAGGGTTAACACAAAGATCGTGAATACGCCTATTATTATATGCGAAGCAACCGCTCAATGAATATATAACCTAAGGTCCAAGAAGACGGGATAGAAGATAAAAAGAATTGCAGTGCAGAATTCATCTTAATCAAAGAATCAAAAAAGTATAATAAACCTCAAAACTGCTGTGTAGTACCAAAAACTCTACTTACTACATTATCATTCTCGGTTCGCTGGTCATAGTACAGCATCCTATAACACATTGGTCGAGGAATTTTTCAACTTGTAACCACTGTTACTG